GCTATTAGAAAAAATATCAGTTACTGTTCAAATGCATTTATCGAAGAACACTAGTTGAAAAAGAAAATTTTTATATTCATTTAGATTCATGAATATTCTAATTTCATGAAATTGATATGAGAAAAGTTTGCAAATGTGTTCAAGCATTTACAATGCTTTTCATATAAGTGAAAGTTGTTGTAAGTGATTCTTTGAGAAAAAAAATGTGTTATCCTCAGAAGTCCACTATGGAGTGAAATGATTTGTTTAAGCCTATCATATGGTATTGAATGTACCGATCAGTGTTAAAGTGGCCTTCGGGCAAAAGTGGCCTTCGGGCAACCTATGGTAGTGCTAGGTACATTCTGTTCCCGGGTTGACTTATAGTGATTCGATGCGCATTCCCATGCTACTGTGCTATAATTTTTGTAGCCTTAGTGTGACAACTGAGGAAATTTTGTAATTGAGGATTTAGCTTGATATCTACAATTTTAAAAGTATTTAGTATTCATTCGTATTATTTCTTAAATTATGAATATTCCTTGCTATTCTTAGAAACTTTCTCATTTGAAATATTATGCATCTCTCAATTGTTCTTTCTTGAATTTTAGTATTAATAAATTCTCAAACTTGACTGATCCGCTAATGATAAGCTTTCTACTCACTGAGTGTAAACTCACCCCATTGTTTTTCAATCTTTTTCAGATGAAAATTAGATAGCTTTATCGAAGCCTCGAAGCTTTGGAACATGAGAAGAATGTTTTAGAGTGTTTGGTGTTGAAGCTATAGTCATGCTAGTCATGCTATTATGCATATGTAATAAGAGTCTTCTGACTCATTAGAGTGAACTTGTTATCCAGGTTTTAAATATCGGATATCGGGGAAATATCGGATGATCAAAATTCATATCAGATTGCGGATATCAGGGAAATATCGTGGATATGTGGTAAATAGCGGAATGCCATAATGAATGTTTGCATACATAATATAATGCATTAAAATGTAATCTCAACATATGTAATGAAATTTAAGCATACAAAATATAAATAATATATGTTTAGGATCACTAATCAACCTTTTAAAACAAACAAAAGTGCAAAGCAACGTTGCAACATTCGATCTGCTTTTTTTAGGACAAAATGTCATTTGATATAATGGGGAAATCTTGATATCTCGTCCAAAAATTTCAAACACGGTATATTATTTTGCAACAAGTTATATAAAAAGATATATTGGTCCACATATCGGCTAATATATCGGTCATATCGGGGATTTATCACTCAAAATAGCCAAAAAACGGTAAAGGATATTTAAAGACCATATCCGGTTGCGGCAAGCCCTGTAAAAGGATATATCGGGGGATATATTGGGCCATGTCGGGGATATTTAAAACAATGCTTGTTATAATATAGTTTTGCTCTGAGACTTCTTTATTTGTCAAATAAGCTTCTTGTAAAATGAAGTTTATTATAATGTGGAAGTGCACCGCAGGCTTAGCATGTGCTTTATGCACGTGTTGCCGCTGTCATGCATCTCAAAATTAGCTGCGCATTTTGGGGGCGTGACACTTAGTCACACCCCAAATTGATGGAACAAAAACTTAAATTTTCTCCCCTCATTTACCTTTCATTCTCCCGAGTATTTCTCTTTCGATTCCCATTGAATCTCAAGAATTCTACGAAAGAACGAAGAATCCATCGAAGGGATGTTTAGCATCACGTCATCGAGCCGTAACTTGTTCTTCCCAATTGTTTAATTTCTTGTCGTGAATTCTTGTTGATGGGTTTGCATTGTTTTGATATGATCGTGTGTTCAAGTTTTAGAAGCTAAAATCTTGATGTTTTATAAGTTTCTTGGGTTTAAAATTGAATTTTTTGGGGCCTAATGAAAGTTTTGCAATGTTGGTTCGAGTTCAGAGATTAGAATTTTTTGCCATTTTTTGGCTAAGATTGAAACTTATGTTTATTTTATCTTGTGTTAGGCTGGATTTTATTTTTGGGTTTTAAAAGAAGTTTGATGAAATTTGGCTCCTTCATATAATGGTTGTTCTTTTTGTGGAATTTTGTCCGGTCGGTGCTCTTTCTTGATCTTTTTCAGACTGTAGTTTAGAGAAGGTTATTTTTTAGTTTATTTTTTATTTCACAAATATAATCTATTCTTTGAGGAGGAAGTAAATTTACATATTCCAGTAGATCACCTACAATTTCTCCCAAAAATTCAATCTCATGTTACTTTGAAGGCACAACTCTGTTGGTTGGGTAAATAGCACAGTATAGTTAAAATTTCATAGCTCCTTGCATATAGTTTCAATATTTTCTCGATTTCGTTTAAGGATTTATGATGGCAATTTTCTTTGTGGCTTTCGGCCAAATCTTCGACACGACTAGCACTAACACTTTTGCTCAGAAACCCTTTGGTAGTCCCGGTATTTTTGTTTCGCAATCTGGTAGCATAACTACCGGTGTTTCCTCCCCGTCTTCAGCATTCACTTCCACCTTCGGTGCTCTGTCACCAGGGTTTGATAGTTCTGAATGACTAAATCAGCTTTTGGGACACCATCAACGCCGGCGTTTGGTACTTCTTCATTTGGTGGTATTGAAATGAAGCCTCTCTTTTGTGTGCACATATTAACTTCATATCTTGCGCGCATTAAAGCACTTTTGCACCTGCATTGGTTGCTTGGATTTCGAACTTGTTTTGTACCTGCATTGACTGCTTGGATTTCAAACTTGTCAGTTTTATTATCTCCATGCATAAGTGGGAGTATTTGGTTTATCAGACTAACATGTCTATGACAAAGAAAATTGGCTTAGTTTCCTCATCGTCTTATCATACATCACATAATAACAGGAAACGCTTCATTATTGCTAAGGTATGGTTATATAGTAGATTGTAGACTACTTTTGAAATTAAATGACAGGACAAATTTTTGTGTACATAATTCATAGATCTAGGGATCTAATATTCGTGACATCTTCTACCAAAATTATTCCTTGTTTTTCTTTTAAAAAATGTTGAATATACTGGAATTTTAAGAACTATGATGTTTAGTTCTTATGTAGTTAAATTTCTAGAACTCTGTAGGAAAGCTGTGTTTATGCTAAAATCTAGATCAACGCTTCTTTTACCTCCAGCAAATTTGCAAACCATATTACATCAAAACCCTTTTTCCGGTGCATGTGCATATTGAAATTTATATTTCATGGCTTCTGAAATTACGACATTGTGAAGTATTACCCTTCCAAGATTATGCTTATTATTTAATCAAGCTAACTATGTCTTTTTCGAACATTCGATTTACCACCTACTCCCATATTGGTTGTAATGTTCGTGCACTAAATTTATTGTATACTGGATTTCCAAGTCGTCCAAAACAGGTGATTTTTTTTCCTTGAGTGGGTGATGTTTGACTACTTTTCTGGCCAAATTTGTTTTACCAATATCAAATTTTATCCAGTAGAAGTTTCTTCTAAGTTTTTTTTAATCATTTTGTCATGTTGCTTGACTTCAAATCTTTGTCCTCTTCTGTAGGATCTAGCCAATATGGACAGCATACAAGCTTTGGAAATTTTGGATCAACATCAACTGGTAGTACATTGGTGCAAACACAGCCTAAATTCGTAAGCGATGCTTTTGGCTCAACCAAACCCTTTGGATGCATCAAATCAACATGCATTTGGATCTACTGGCATGACAAATACTTTGTTGAATATCATTTCTCCATGATAATGTTTTGATGATAACAATTTATATTGTGTGTATACTAACTTTCATATGCAGATTTCAATATCAGAATATGAACAAGTGCAAGTGGATATCAAGGCATTTTGAAGTAAAGAAAATGAAGAACAAAAGATAATGTATTTGTATTTTTCTTTACTTAGAATATTTGTACAAGCCTTGATCACACACACGCACACACACACAATTTTAGAACACACTAACACAGGCTTAGTGTGTTGGTTAACTATAGAAATCCCCTATGTTAACCATTAGAATAATAGTTAAAACTTAATTATAAAAACTCATTATTTCTGAATTTTTGATCTTAATAGTCGACTAATTAGGATAGTAGTCGACTACTCATGTATATAACTCAAATACAAGTTTCTGTCTTTTTACAGTATAGTCGACTAATAGAGATTATAGTCGACTACTGAGATGTTTGACAGAAACATAAGTTTCTGTCTTTTTACAGTGTAGTCGACTAATGACTACAGTAGTCGACTACTGAAGAAAAATATAAGTTTTCAAGTTTCTGTCTGAACTCAGTGTAGTCGACTAATTATCATTACAGTCGACTACTGAGAACATTTTCCGAAAACACAGAGTCTGTCTGAACTCAGTGTAGTCGACTAATGACTACAGTAGTCGACTACAAGAGACAGTTTTTCAGTTTTCAGAATTTGAATATTTGACAGTTCTTGGCCGTTTTTAAACGTTTTTAAAAACTTTAAAAACTTGTCTTTTCAAGGGCTATATATAGGTTATTTGTTCAGAAAAATTGCATACATATACATACCTATAAGCTTTGATTCTTGAGCAATTTTCCAAGTGAAAAACATTCTGATTTTCTGAAAAAGAAGAGTTTCTGAAATTGCCTATATACTTTCATCAAAAACAAATCAATTAGGCAATTTTACAGAGATTAAAAGAATCCTAAGCCACTGCTGCACATTATTACACATTCAAGGCTTATAGGATCATTGTGTTCTTCTTCAACAAGTTTTCTCTCGGTTGTGAGAGGGTTAATCTCTTGGGTTAGAGATTGGTGTTCAAATTGGCAAGGAGTTTGTCAATTGGTGTTACAATTTGCAGGGACTTACAAATTGGTCAGGTTTGCGTTTGATTTTGTAAGTTTATTCAAAATCATAGTGAAAACTCTCAAGCGGGATTTGCTTGGGGACTGGATGTACACCGGTTTGGTGGAACCAGTATAAAATCCTTGTGTTTGTGTTTGCAAATTTCTGAGATTGCCATTTTTCTTTGCAATTTATTATCTACTTTGTAATAATTTTAAAAGAACACTATTCACCCCTCCTCTAGTGTTCAAGTGTATCTATTTCAGATCCTACATACTTCAGCATTTGGGTCTACAACAACTTCATTATTTGGTACATCTGGAACATCATTTGGGTTTTCGACAAGTACACCAGCTTTCGGTGCACAAAGTACCTCTCTCTTTGGAACTTCAACTTCTCCATCATTTACGATGACTGGCCCTACTTTAGCTGGATCGTCGACTTCGTTTGGTTCATCTACACCATCTTTTGGTAGTAAAAGATTTGGAACTACGTCATGAGACTTTGGCATCCAGAACTCCACCTATGGTGAGTTTTTTTTCTTTCACTAGGGCCTTTTATAAAAGCATTTACCTTTCGTAACTAAAAGTAAGACTATTTGTAAATATTTTATTTTTGCAGGTTCTCAAACAACAAATTTCACATTTGGTGTTCAACAAGGGGGTGGTAGGATGGCGAAGCATACATCAACACTTACTGAAGATTAGACAATAAACAGCCTAATATTTATCTGCAGTCAATATCTATGATGCCTGTGTACATAGATAAGAGTCATGAGGAGCTTAGATGGTTGGACTACCAATGCGGAGATAAAGGTAGGAAACCATGGTTTTGACTTCGTTTGGCGCATCTTCAACGATAACTGTTTTTTTCCTTGTTATTACAGTTTGACTGATTTTCTAAATTTTTATTGAATTATCAATGTCAGGAGGCCCAAATTCTGCTGGACAACATGGAACTACTGGTAGTTTTCCCTCGCCAGAGAAAGGTAATGCTTTTTTGCTAACCAGTTCTACTTCATCTTCAACCAAACATCTAGATTCTCATCATTTGCGGAGAACAATGAAAATCCATCATTCAACTTCACATCTAAATTCTCAAACTTCAGGACAAACCAGTAATCCTTTAGCACAGACCAGTTCTAATATATTGTCGAACCAAACCCCTGCTTTCTCCCCATTTCAACAGAACGGTGCAAATACATCTTTCAATTTCAAACATACATTCTCAACTTCAGAACTGACCAGAACTAATCCTTTTGCACAGACCAGTTCTAATTCATTGTCCAACCAAATTCCTAGTTTTCCTTCTCCAAAGGAAGCAATTCCTTTCAGAAAAGCCAACACTTACCCCGTTCGCTACTGGCTTTATTTCCTTGAGCAATTCAGTTTCATGCTTACCATTCTTTATAATGCCTAGCTCTTTTAGCTCAATCTCTTCAACTTCGAATGGGGTTTTGACCACCTTCTCGCCATTCGATACGTCTTCAACTCCATACTTTGTGCAGGCAACAGCTCCACTTTTTCAATCTTTCGTAGCGCCTCAAAGCTCACAGTTCACTACATCATCTAGCTCTTTTAGCTCAACCTCTTCAACTTCGAATGGGGTTTTAAACGCCGCACCATTCAATACACCTTCAACTTCATCCATTGTGCGGGCAATGTCTACTTTTTCAATCTATAGTAGCGCCTCAAAGCTCACAATTCAGTACACCACCTAGCACTTTTACCTCAACCCCTTCAACTTTGACGGCGGTTTCTACTACCTCCACACCATTCACTACATCTTCAACTCCATACATTGCTCAAACAACTGTAAGTCATGAAAATCTTTACTTGTTGCCAATTATTCACATAGATACTAGCAAATTATGATTTCGTAAGAACTAGCTTGTTGGTTATATTTGACAGCCTTTTACTTCACCTGCTTCTCAAGTAGCTACCCCGGCTCAGATACCAGGTTAGTCCCATGTTAGGATTCACCCTAATAATAACGCCTCGAACGGAGACTTAATCACAAAATAAAGGCACAAAATTCAACATAGAGTACTCACAGATATACGTGGTTCACTCCTTCGGAGCTACTCCACGGTGCAACGACGACGCCAAATTCTTTTATATCCCAAAAGAATTGATCCAAGAGAACACCCTCTCTTGATCAGATACACTCCAAGAACTCTCACAAACTCTCTCTTTGTTTTCTCTTACTCTTCTATAAGAGGAGTTGTTTCTGGGATGAGATTTCCTTAAGAGTTTAGGGCCCTATTTATAGTGTTTGAGAAACACTATGCACAAATAAAATATTATTAGTAAGGTTAGGCGCCTGACAATCTCCCACTTGAAGATTTGATTGAATGTCGATCATATCTTCACACCACTCTTGGTTGCATCATCCGGATGTCTTGTATCTTTGGCGTCTTGCACGGTCATCAACATTCTCAACAAAGGCCATATGAGGCTGCACACAGCCTCACCTTCTCGAGCGGAACTGACTTGGTCAGCATATCGACTAGATTGTACCACGTATCAATCTTCACAAGCTTGAACTCGTTCCTACTTTGTCATCTCCGTATGGCATGGTGCTTCACGTCAACATGCTTGGTCCGAGCATGGAATGCGTCGTTCTCTGACAAGTGAATGACACTCTGACTGTCACAATGGATGAAATATTTCTCAAAGCTTACTCCAAGCTAGAGAAGAAAAGCCTTCAACCATAGCAACTCCTTTGCTGCCTCTGCTGCAGACACGTACTCGGCTTCGGTTGTCGACAAAGCCACAGTATCCTGTAACTTGGATCTCCAACTTATCGCTCCACCACCCAAGATGAAGATGTAGCCGCTCGTACTCCTTCTCGAGTCTATGTCCCCGGCATAGTCTGCATCACAAAAGCCCTCTAACTGCAAATCTGTCCCGTCATACTCAAGACAACGGTCGGACGAGCATCTCAAGTAGCGTAAAAGCCACTTGACCGCACCTCAGTGTTGCTTTCCTGGATTGCTCATGAAGCGGCTCACAACTCCCACTCCTTGTGTAATATCTGGCCTCGTACACCATTGTCAGTCAGGAGAAGGTAATTCATGGTGGAAAAGTACCTCTCTGGCACCCTTGGATTTCTTGGAGCTTTGCGAATTGCGATCGGCAACTCTGCTGGATCCTGCTGCTGTGCATCCCGCACGTTCTCTTGGTCTCCGTCTTCTATGCTGATTGGTATCTCACCGTCGTCCTCACTGTCAGCAATATCTGGGAAAAGAGGGGGAGATAGCTGACTCCCACTCACCTCTTTGGTCTTGTACACCGCATTCTCATGGAATACGACGTCACGACTGCGCACCACCTTGCGCGCATCGTGATCTCAGAAACGGTACCCATACTCATCTCCTTCATAGCCGATGAAAGAGAGCTTCTTTGACTTTGGATCAAGCTTTGACCGGTCTGCAGGATTGGTCATGACATAAGCGTCACAACCAAATACTCGTAAGTGCTCTAGCTTCAGCTTCTTTCCGGTCCAAGCCTCTTCAGGTATCCCATAATTGAGAGCCGCGGATGGCCCGCGGTTGATCAAGTATGCAACAGTATTGACAGCTTCAGCCCAAAAGCTCTTGGGCAATCCGGAGTGGATCCTCATACTTCTGGTGCGCTCCAAGATAGTGCGATTCATGCGCTCCGCCACTCCGTTGTGCTGAGGTGTGCCTGGGACGGTCTTCAGTCTCCGAATCCCACGGGACGAACAGAAGTTCTCGAACTCCTGGCTGCAATTGTAATAATACTAAGTTATTGACTATGTAGATATATGGTATATATAGGTATATGGAAAAGTAAAGGGACTTTTGTGCATAATTTGTTAGAGGGTTTATTAGTAAACAAAGGGCCTTTATAAATACCCAAAACCCTACTTGTTTTCCGTCATCTGTTTAGCCGCACAAAAAAAAAAAAAAAACCCTAAGGTCTCGTCTTTCTATAAGAGAAAAGAATCATCTTAAGGGGGAAGGCGACAGGTGTTTGATCATCAAGCAAGGTATATCTTGTTATACTATCTTTAGGAATATGTTTATGCAGAAGTTTGCACATTGATCTAACCATTCATTATATTAATTTATTTGGGTCAAGTGGTTATAGACTTTGCTGGTAATCTTGATAGTATATCAACAATAATGTCAGGCGGTAGGAGAAAGCATGAGCAATAGTTTTCAGCTTTTGTATTAGCCTGTGAGCAAAAAAATAGTTATAATGATTTTAAACCATGATTATGAAAATAAATTTATAAAAAAAAGGAAAATACCTACAGACTCTTCTTGTTGATCTTCTTTGCCATGAACTACCACGTCTTTTACTGCAGCAAAGTTGCAAGATATGGTCTTTAAAAGAAAAGCTAGTAGAGTTAAGTAAACTATTAATGTACAGAGATTATTATATGTCATAGATGTACAGAGATTATTATATGTCATTAGTATTTGGTAGGATGTCTATATTGATGGTTATTTGTATATATTATATAGGAATCCCAAGTGACTTCGAGGAGGTGTCGTGATTGGTATTCTGATAGTCTTTCGGATTTGAGTAAGTGGTGAATTTGTACATTATTCGCTGCGTATTTTTCGTATAAAATTATATTGACTATATGTAAGTTTGTTCTGATGGATTTTACCCTTCTATATGGTTGCTCGCATACTACTTGTTGATTGGATAAATGCATGTGATTAATTAGTATAAGCCTATGCTTATTTTCTTTATCAACTTTTTATGATTTTCATATAGTGGTAGGTTGAGATGCATATGTGTTTGATTTATTTCACTATTGGTTGGCCTTTGGCATTTTTGTATAATGTGATTAGCTTTACGAACTTTGTTTATTGTTAAAGCATATGCATCTCAAGTCAATATACCGGTATATGTCGGATATAAGCAAGTTATTAAAACAGGGCTCAATGTGCCTCTATGAGGTTTCTATTTTAGCGCTAAGAGCCCAAGTTTGGGTCTCATCGTCCCTACCACGGGCTTTATAACAGTGGGGTTTGCCAAGTCAACCGGAGTATCGAAGTGTTGACCGCATTGAGACATGACCTGCTTATTTCCATTTTATTTATATATTTTAAAATGTTGCATTATGAATTTTTACTATTTTAGTATTTTGTTTTCCCAGTAACTTTATTTTAGTTTTGCAAAACCAGTGTTTAATGTATGAATTTATCCACTTATTGAGTTGTGAACTCATTGTGTTATTTTTCATTCTTTTCAGAGACTCGGGATTAGGTGGAATTGAGGATTGTCAAATTCTTAGAACGAAGCAAAGAATAATTCGAGATTGTTATTGTCTTCTAGGTGACGGTTAAATAAAGTCTTTAATGTTTAGATGATGAATTGAGAGTTTGTAATAATGAGATTCTTTCTTTAGGTTGAGATTTATTTGGAGTTGAGGAATATTTATTTTTTTATCAAGTTAATTGGCTTTAGTTGACTTTTGGGGTTATAGAGAATAATTGTTGTTGGTTTTAGTTCAATGAAGAGATTTGTTTTAGTGTTCTTTTAATGAATGTATATTTTGGAGGACTTTTCACAGGTTTAGTCCGGCTCTAATATTCCTTTGTGGTTCGGAAATTGGGGTCGTGACAGAATGGTATCAGAGCCTAGGCTGTAGGTCCTAGTTAGAGTTAGAGGAAATATTAATGATGATGAAATATAATGATGGAATATAATAATTTATTTTGAAGTATGGTCGAGGACATATGAACATTATCAGATAAAATTTCGGGTATAGGAGTATATAAGCTTAGAATCATGGATCATGTAATCTCTTTAGTTTTGTTTTCTTAAAGGTAAAAGACTTTAGTCTGGGTAGTTTAAGGTATGACTAGTGTATGTATTTCATGAAAAATATTATTTGATTACTTATGCTTGTGATGAATATGTTATGAATTGATTTAATAATAATTAATATGATGAATATTTTGTACTAAATATATTTGTTTCTGATAGATGGCTCGTGGTAAGAGAGGTTCTAGTGTTGCAGCGAGGCGCTCTTCTCCTAGACTTGATGCTAATGCGGGGGTTGCGCTACCTTCGAATATACCCCAATCAAGTAGGCGTCCCCGGACTAGGGTTGGTGGAAATGATGATGCAGGTCGACAAAACATCGAGACCCCTAATGTTACAAATGAGGCTCCTGATGGGAATGTCAGGGGAAGATCAGGACCCAGAACTCGTGGGGGTATGGCTACCCGTACTGCTAGGACCACGAGAGGGATTGCTGGAGCTCAGTGGGGTGTTGAAGGACTCGCCAGTTTTATTGAGATGCAGAGTGGTTTCATGGAGAGGCAAATGGAGATCCTTGAAAAGCAGTCAGAGGCAACTGAGAAGCTGAGCGAAGCATTAAATACACAGAAGAAGACTAAGCCTATTGGCAGTGATTTTGAAAAATTTAAGAAGATGTCTCCACCATCTTTTCAAGGAGGTTCTGATCCAACAGCAGCACAGGAATGGCTGAAGAAAATAGAGAAATACTTCAGAGCCTTGGGATGTTCAGAGGAACAAAAAGTTATTTATGCTACATTTATGCTAGAAGGAGAGGCAGAGATCTGGTGGGAAACTAAGGAGGCTAGTTTATCACTTGAGGGGGAGGATGTTCCTTGGAGCAGATTTGTTAAATTATTTAGGGAGAAATATTTTCCCTTGTATGTTCGATCTCGCAAGAAGAGGGAGCTTATGGAATTGCAGCAGGATGACATGACAGTGGAAGAATATGAAGCTAAGTTTAATGAGTTATCTCGATATGCACCTGAGCTAGTTGCAGAAGAATTTGATAAGATAGAGATGTTTGAGAATGGACTGAGGCCAGAAATTCATCAAAAGGTTATAGTAGTTATGTCAAAGACTTTTGAGGAGGCAGTGGAGCGAGCAAAAAGGGCTGAAAAAGCAAGTAAGGGAGAAAAGATTACAGATGAACCAAACAAAAGCTGGGACCAGAAGAAGCGGAACAGGGATGAGAATAATCAGAAAGATAAGTCAACTTTTAAGCCTTTTAAGAAGCCAGCATTTCGAGGGTCAGGAGCTCCAGTACAGAGATCGGGCCAGTTTGTGCAGAGACCAGGTCCTTCTATTCAGAGGCATGATGGACAATGTTATAAGTGTGGTAATAATCACAAAGGCTGTTATTGTCCTTTATTTCGAGGCTGCTATGAGTGTGGTAGGCAGGGGCATATTGCGAAGGACTGTCCAATTAAGAAGGGACCCAAGACTGATGATCAGAAAGCGAAGCCTACACCAGGTGATGGTCAGAAATCTAAGGCGCAAGGGAGAGTATTTGCTTTGACGAAGCAGGATGCTCTCGCATCTAACTCTGTTGTTACAGGTGCACCTGTTATTTCCTCTCAGCTCGCACATGTGTTGTTTGATTCTGGTTCTTCTCATTCATTTATATCTCATAGCTTTGCTAGTAAGTTGGGCAGAACTCTAGAATTTTTAGAATCTGAACTATCAGTTTCCACCCCATCCGGTGATTGTATGATCACTAATCACATCTTTAAGGGATGTGAGGTCATAGTGGGAGATCGAACCTTGCTTGCGAGTCTTGTGCTACTTGATATTCATGACTTTGATGTTATTCTTGGCATGGATTGGCTTTCTACTTATCATGCATCTCTAGATTGTTTTCAGAAGCGAGTTTCATTCAGAATTCCTGGGGAGTCCGAGTTTAGTTTCGAGGGATCGAGTGTTAGTGTACCTCCATGTGTTATTTCAGCTATGCAAGCCTGTAGACTTCTAAGAAAAGGTTGTCGTGGTTTTCTTGCTAGTGTAGTTTGTACCGAGAAGAAGGATGTCATTTTGGATGAAATTCCAATTGTTCGAGAATACCCTGATGTTTTTCCTGAAGACTTGTCAGGGCTACCACCTGACAGGGAGATTGAGTTCGCTATTGATTTAATTCCAGGAACAGGGCCGATCTCAAAAGCACCTTATCGCATGGCACCAGTAGAGATGAGGGAGTTGAAGACTCAATTGCAGGAGTTGTTAGATAAGGGCTTCATCAGGCCGAGTGTATCTCCTTGGGGTGCTCCAGTACTTTTTGTGAAGAAGAAAGATGGGAGCATGAGACTTTGTATAGATTACCGAGAATTGAACAAGGTGACTGTAAAGAATAAATATCCTTTGCCTCGGATTGATGATTTATTTGATCAGTTGAAGGGAGCCCAGGTGTTCTCAAAGATTGACCTTCGGTCTGGTTATCACCAGCTCAAGATTAAGCCTGAAGATGTTTCGAAGACTGCATTTAGAACAAGATATGGACACTATGAATTCTTGGTGATGCCATTTGGATTGACAAATGCTCCAGCTGCTTTTATGGACTTGATGAATAGGGTATTTAGGTCTTATCTCGACCAGTTTGTAGTTGTTTTTATTGATGATATTTTGATCTACTCGAGAAGCCGGGAGGAACACGAAGAACACTTAAGAACTATTTTGCAATTACTTTTGGAGCATAAATTGTATGCAAAGTTGAAAAAGTGTGAATTCTGGTTGGAGAGTGTCTCATTCTTGGGGCATGTTATTTCTAAAGATGGGGTGTCGGTTGATCCTTCAAAGATAGAAGCAATTGTTGATTGGAAGAGACCTAGCACCGTGACCGAGATACGAAGCTTTTTGGGATTGGCTGGTTACTATAGAAGGTTTATCGAGGGATTTTCTCGCATTGCAGCACCTTTGACTCGATTGACTCAGAAAGGGGTCAAGTTTCAGTGGACAGAGAAGTGTGAGCATAGCTACCAGGAGTTGAAGGATCGATTAGTGTCCGCACCTATACTCACGATTCCTTCTGGATCAGGTGGATTTGTGATATACAGTGATGCTTCTCATATTGGCCTCGGTTGTGTTCTTATGCAGAATGGGAAAGTTGTAGCATATGCCTCCAGACAGCTTAAACCTTATGAAAAGAACTATCCAACTCATGATTTAGAGTTAGCTGCTGTTATCTTTGCATTGAAGATTTGGCGACATTATTTGTACGGGGAGACTTGTGACATCTACACAGATCATAAGAGCCTTAAATACATTTTCACACTTAAGGAGTTAAATATGAGACAAAGGCGATGGTTGGAGTTAATGAAAGATTATGATCTTAATATTCATTATCATCCCGGCAAGGCAAATGTGGTAGCTGATGCTTTGAGTAGGAAGTCCAATGCTAGTGTGGCTGCTTTGATCACAAATCAGAAGCATATGTTGGAGGACTTGAGGAGACTGGATATTGATATTCGACTTCGAGGATCTGGAGTGATGTTTGCTCATCTTAAAATTCATCCTGCTTTGATTGACAGGCTTGTGGCTGCACAAAGTGATGATTCAGTTCTTGTAAAAATTAAAGCAGATGTAGAACAGGGACTTCAACATGATTTTGTAGTTCATGATGGAGCTTTGAGATTTAAAAACCGTTTATGTGTACCTAATAATCCGGAGTTGAAGAAAGAAGTCCTAGAGGAGGCGCACTGTTCGGCGTATACAGTTCATCCCGGATCTACAAAGATGTATAGAGATTTGCGAGAAATATTTTGGTGGAATGACATGAAGCGGGATATTGCAGAATTTGTGTCTAAGTGCTTGGTGTGCCAACAGGTCAAGATTGAACATCAGAAGCCTAGCGGACTACTTCAGCCTCTTCCAATTCCTGCGTGGAAGTGGGAGGAGGTAACAATGGATTTTGTGACTGGTTTTCCTAGGAGTCAGAATGGTAATGATACTATATGGGTGATTGTTGATCGACTTACTAAATCGGCTCATTTCTTGCCTTGTAAAACTACTCATTCTCTTGAGAAGCTTGCTGAATTATATGTTAAGGAGATTGTGAGATTGCATGGGATACCGGTGACTATTATATCAGATAGAGATTCGAGATTTCGTTCTAGATTTTGGCAAGGTCTGAATAATGCTCTGGGAACACAATTGAGTTTTAGTACATCTTATCATCCGCAGACGGACGGGCAATCAGAGAGGACTATACAGACATTGGAGGATATGCTTCGTGCTTGTGTTTTGGATTTGAAGGGTAGCTGGGAAAAACATTTGCCTTTGGTGGAGTTTGCATATAACAATAGCTATCACTCCAGTATTGATATGTCCCCTTATGAAGCACTGTATGGTAGGAGATGTAGATCACCTATTTGTTGGGATCAGGTAGGAGAAAGAAGGTTGCTCGGTCCTGAGATAGTACAGATTACTACTGAGAAGATTCAGCAGATACGTGAGAGGCTTCGTATAGCTCAAAGCAGGCAGAAGAGTTATGCTGATAATAGAAGAAGAAAGTTAGAGTTTGAAGTCGGCAATCATATTTTCCTTAAAGTATCACCTACTAAGGGAGTGCTGAGATTTGGAAGAAAGGGCAAGTTGAGTCCAAGATATATTGGACCTTTTGAGATTTTGGAGAGGGTTGGAGCTGTAGCATACAAAATTGCATTGCCCCCAGAGTTGGCTAAAATTCATAATGTTTTCCATGTATCAATGCTGAGGAAGTGTGTACTTGATCCGAGTCATGTATTGAATTATGAGCCCCTTGGGATCAGGGAAGATTTGACATATTCAGAGTATCCAGTTAGAATTTTGGACCGGAAGGAGCAAGCTTTGAGATCAAGAATTGTTAAGCTAGTGAAGGTTTTATGGAAAAATCATTCAGCTGAGGAAGCTACCTGGGAGCATGAAGATGAGATGAAGGAAAAATATCCTAATCTATTTGAAGACTCAGGTATGTTCAAGTTTTGAGGACAAAACTTCTGTTAAGAGGTGTAGTATGTAATAATACTAAGTTATTGACTATGTAGATATATGGTATATATAGGTATATGGAAAAGTAAAGGGACTTTTGTGCATAATTTGTTAGAGGGTTTATTAGTAAACAAAGGGCCTTTATAAATACCCAAAACCCTACTTGTTTTCCGTCATCTGTTTAGCCGCACAAAAAGAAAAGAACAGAAAAAAAAAACCCTAGGTCTCTCTCTTCTTCCTCCCGTCGGTTTCTGCCGCACACACAGAAATAAAAGAAAAGGATCTGCATTGGAGGAGGATAAGTGGTGATTGTTTACACAAATATAATAGGTATTGTTCTTTTGGATGAATGCTATGCATCCGATTTTTATGAGTTTTTTTTTAGATCTTGTTATTTATGATGTTGACACTAGGTAGCTGCCCTTGTTCTCATGGCCACGGACAAGTCTTGAGCCTAGTGCATCCCTTGGTCACCTACTTTATATTAAATAATAATAATAATAATAATAAATTAGCAACTATGATAGCCTGCATGTACATATTTCTATGTCATTGCATAATTTATTATTCTGTAGGAGGAAAGCTAAGAAACATCCAGTGTACTAAAGTAGTAGTATATAATATGGTTTTATAGGATGGAGCTTAATATATGTTATATTATTCAGTATAGTTGTATTAATGTTTACTATATCTACTCTTTAGGAGTTTCAAGTGGCTTCGAGGAGGCGTCGTGACTAGTATTTTGATAGCTTTCGGACTTGATGTAAGTGGTAAATTTATGCATTGTGCATTGCGTATTTTTCCTACAAAATGATAGTAAGTATATGTGGATTTGTTTCCTGATGGATTATATTCCTTTGTATGATTTACTGCTATATCATTTGTTGATTTGTTGATTTTGTGATGCTCATAGATATTTTGGTATAAGCCTATGCTTATTTTCTTTATCAGTTATGTCTTTTCATATAGTGGTAGGTTGAGATGCATATGTGTTTGATTTATTTCACTATTGGTTGGCCTTTGGCATTTTTGTATAATGTGATTAGCTTTACGAACTTTGTTTATTGTTAAAGCATATGCATCTCAAGTCAATATACCGGTATATGTCGGATATAAGCAAGCTATTAAAACAGGACTCAATGTGCCTCTATGAGGTTTTATTTTAGCGCTAAGAGCCCAAATTGGGTCTCACCGTCCCGGAACCACGGGCTTAATAATTGTGGGGTTTACCGAGTCAACCGGAGTATGAAGTGTTGACCGCATTGAGACGTAGCATGCTTATTTCTATTCCATGATTTCTAATTTTCTTAAATATTTGTATCAAATACTAGAGTTCATTAATGATTCTATATCATTCTTATATTTTGTTTATTTCTCGTTGTAATATTTTAGTTTTGCAAAACCAGTGTTTAATGTATGAATTTATCCACTTATTGAGTTGTGAACTCATTGTGTTATTTCTATTCTTTTCAGAGACTCGGGATTAGGTGGAATTGAGGATTGTCAAATTCTTAGAACGAAGCAAAGAATAATTCGAGATTGTTATTGTCTTCTAGGCGAAGGTTAAATAAAGTCTTTAATGTTTAGATGATGAATTGAGAGTTTGTAATAATGAGATTCTTTCTTTAGGTTGAGATTTATTTGGAGTTGAGGAATATTTATTTTTTTATCAAGTTAATTGGCTTTAGTTGACTTTTGGGGTTATAGAGAATAATTGTTGTTGGTTTTAGTTCAATGAAGAGATTTGTTTTAGTGTTCTTTTAATGAATGTATATTTTGGAGGACTTTTCACAGGTTTAGTCCGGCTCTAATATTCCTTTGTGGTTCGGAAATTGGGGTCGTGACAGCAATACTTGCCTCCATTATCAGACTTTAGGCACTTCAGCTTATTGCATGTTTCGTTCTCCACACATGCAAGCCACTTCTTGAAGATGATGAATACATCTGACTTGTGCTTCAAGAACACCCACAATTTTCTCGTAGCATCATCAATAAAAGTGACAAAGTAAAGAGAGTTACCAACAGATGGGACTTGCGCAGGTCCCCACACGTCGGTGTGCACCAACTCCAATTTCTGCAGTTTTGGAGCCGGTCCGGTCTTGTTGAAGCTCACCTTCTTTTGTTTGTCTAAGATGCAGTCCTCACAGAAAGTCAGATCGATCTTGTTCAGACCCGGAAGCCTCTCTCCCGCGGCCATAATCTGCATCCCCTTCTCGCTCATGTGGCCAAGTCGTCGATGCCAAGTCATGCAGTCGACGTATGATGATGATGATGCTAGTCCTGCGGTAAGCAAGTGGTCGATCTTTCCGTTGACGATGTAGAGAGACCCCTCGCGTTTGCTGTGTGCCACCACCAAGGCACCCTTGGACACCTTTCAACTTCTCTGCTCGAAGGATACTCTGTAACCGGAGTCAGTCAATTGCCCGACTGATATAAGATTTCATCTGAGATCCGGTACATGCCGAACATCATTCAGCGTCAAGGTGGTCCCGCCCTCCATATTAAGGGTACAATTTCTCTTCCCGGAAACCTTGCAAGGTTGATCGTCGCCAAGATAGACAGTCCCCAAGTCTTTCTTCACGAACGATAAAAGCAGCTTTTGTTGTGAGGTTGCATGGAAAGATACGCCAGAGTCGATGACCCACGCATCGCTTTTGTCTTCCAGGGATAAGAGAAGTGCATCCGAATCCGTCTCGTGCATGAGATTGGCTGCACCGTCAGCTCGATCATCCCCTGCTGATGCTAGAACAGTAACTCTGCAGTCCTGTGCAAAGTGGCCCTTTTTTCCGCATCTAAAGCACTTCCCTTCACCGTAACCATTCGGGTTAGGCCCTTTAGACTTCCCTCTGGATTTTGATTGGCCTCGTTGTCCCCTACCCTTTTTCTGTGCACGTCCTCGTGCCTCGACATGCAGAGCACTCCCACTGCTAGAGGCCTCAGTTCCTGAGACTTTACGGCGAGATTCTTCATCCAGAATTGCCCCAATCACTATGTCGAGCTTCATCTTGTCATTGCCATTGGCGTTGCTCACCGTCATCACCATATTCTCCCATGAATCTGGTAGACAAGAAAGTAGCAGAAGAGCTTGGATCTCGTTGTCGAACTTTAGATCCACTGCAGCAAGCTGTTGCACAACAGCCTGAAATTCGTTCAAGAAGTTCGCCACACGAGCTCCTTGTTGCATCTTTAAGTTGAATAGCTTCTTCATCAGGAACACCTTATTTGAAGCAGACGGTTTCTCATACAGCGCCTCCAATGCCTCCATCAACTCCTTGGTGGTGGTCGCATGCGAGACGTTGTAAGTCACATGCTGGTGAAGGTTGAGCCTGATTGTGGCAAGTGCTTTACGATCGAGCACCTTCCACTTATCGTCGTCCATCTTCTCAGGTTTCCCCGCCTCTCCTTGGAGGGGTAGGAAGAGATCCTTCTGGTACAAATAGTCTTCTATTTGCATCCTCCAATACCTAAAATTTTGGCCGCTGAACTTCTCAATTCGAAGTCTATTGTCTTCAACTGTAGATCCCATGGCGAAAGATTACGTTTTTTCCGTATTCGTGAATAGTACAATATTCGTGAATAGTATCGTATTCGTGAATAGTACCATATCCGTGAATAGTATCGTACACGTGAATAGTACCATACACGTGAATAGTGCCCAATGCCTTAAAAGAGTAAATATTAATCTAACTTATTTTCTGATGTGGATGATCCACTTTTAGTGACAGCCACAGAGCATACGATAAGCAGATATATATACTCTAAGTCAGGCTCTGATACCAGTTGTTAGGATTCACCCCAATAATAACGCCTCGAATGGAGACTTAATCACAAAATAAAGGCACAAAATTCAACACAGAGTACTCACAGATATACGTGGTTCACTCCTTCGGAGCTACTCCACGGTGCAACGACGACGCTAAATTCTTTTATATCCCAAAAGAATTGATCCAAGAGAACACCCTCTCTTGATCAGATACACTCCAAGAACTCTCACAAACTCTCTTTTTGTTTTCTCTTACTCTTCTATAAGAGGAGTTGTTTCTGGGATGAGATTTCCTTAAGAGTTTAGGGCCCTATTTATAGTGTTTCAGAAATACTATGCACAAATAAAATATTATTAGTGGGACCCGCCACTAATAATAAAATATTTGTGGGACCCATCACCTTTTCCAATTTTCTCAAAAAACGGCCACCGAATTCCCTAATGTCAACAAAGGTTGCTGGGGTCAAAAATGATGGCTGGTTAACAATCTCCGACTTGAAGATTTGATTGAATATCAATCATATCTTCACACCACTCTTGGTTGCATCATCCGGATGTCTTGCAAAAAACGGCCACCGAATTCCCTAATGTCAACAAAGGTTGCTGGGGTCAAAAATGATGGCTGGTTAACATCCCACACAGCCAGGTAACTCTCAATTATATATGTTTCTATTTTCTTCCCTGTTCATCTCCACCTAAAATTTAGGTTTTTCTTTTTTATCTTACATTTCTTGTTGCTACTATAGTATCTTCGAGTGGCAACCCCAGTGCACCTAAGGGTCTTCTTGCACGCCTGTACGTGATATGTTCTTACATGCACCTGAACATTATTTTGCCTAAAATTCTATGTTCATTATTTTTTATATATGTCTATTCTATGTAACGGCCCCTCCAATCCTTGGGGAACACTTCCAGCACCACTTCGATTGGTATCTGATCAAAGAGGCTCTGAACATGTTCAGTATGGAATTTCTAGCATGCCTGTATCTCTTCTATTAGTTAGAATCTTTCTAGTATGAGGCCTATACTTCATACATACATACATCATATTTCTCATGTATTTTGTGCATATGCTAACTTATATTAGCTTGCTAACTTATGTTAGCTTTGTATGATTTTGCTGCCTAGCAGGTTGCTGAGAAGCCGATGCCAAGAAGAATATCCAGTTTATCAGCTCCAAGGCACATGTCTCCAAGGTGACACATTTTCATATAAAGTGTTTACTCTTTAATCTGACATATAAAGTGTTCACTCTATGATCTGACAATTAGGCCAAACTTACCTACCTCTATTTTTGTAAGAGTTAAAATCTACGAACTATGCATAAATTACAATTTCTTATTTTATTTTATTACAAGTACTGTTCTTCATGGAGGATGAAGGAATACAGGGATCACCATTGGCTAATCTGCATTTCATCTCAAGGGAGAATCCAAGATCATTTGTTATTCATTCAACTGAACAGTGGCCATCAAGAGTTAGCAGCCTATTCCATCTGAGGAAAATGGTAGAAACATACAGTTCTCTTTGGTTATAGGTTATAGATAGATCACTAGTACGATAGATATATTTTTTCTGCATAAAAATATTCAAAGCGTCGAGTGTGATTTCAGAAGGGAACCATTATTTTGAAACTACAAACTAGATGTTAACTTAAAACCAGATCCATTCTAAAGTCAATCAGGAAGGATTAACATGGTTATATTCAAACTTAATGATACAACAATGTGATCTAAATTGCTTATAACAATGAATTTGGGTACCCAATGCTGGTGAAAAAATCGTATGGTCTGAAGTCACAGATAATTCTAAGCCTAACCTTTTCCCCCTCTTCTGTTCCAATCGAGTACTTTTGCCTTGTTCTGATTTAAGCCACTGACTTCTGGATTTGACATTTTAATGCAGAAAATCCACCAGGAAACGCCTGTATGAGAGAGAAGAAGCTGAATTCAGTCTCCAACGGGCATTTACATAAGCTAACTAATTCATTATACATCAAGTTTAAAGTCTATGAGCACCGAGATGATATTGAGACGCTGATGCCCAAGCTTTCTAACACTAAGCATTATACTGAACCAAGATCCCTGAGCTAGCTGTGAAGGAGCGACAAGAGCCAGGATTTTTCTGCCATGTAAAGGACTTTTTTATTGGACGACATGGCTATGGAATTATCTAGGACGAAGGAGAAACTGACGAGAGAAACCTCAACCCTAAGTCTATTGTCCAGTTCAATGATCAAGAGGTGATCGTGTACAAAGATGAGAATATGAAACCACCAGTTGCAGAGGGACTTAAACAAGCCAGCGGAGGTGACGCTTCTTAATAGCAATTGTATTGAGAGCATTATACAGATGGGATCAAGGTGGAGAAGTTTAAGAAGATGTTGATGAAGAAGACTGGAGAACAAAAGGCTGAGTTTGTGGCTTTTGATGCTCTCAAGGGAGTGTGGAAGCTTACACTGTGTTTGGATGGGGTTTTTTTTAAAGTGAAATTTCATTTTCACCTTGTTTCGGAGTTTTCTTAGGGGTTAGAGATGGAATGAAAAGTTAAATTTCCTCACATTTTCCTCCCTTCAATTTGGGCGGTAGAGGATGGAATGGAAACTGATGTAAAATTTTCTAAGATGATGTTGGTGTTGAAAATATATACGATGTCATGGAGATGATAGTAGCGGAGGCAATTCATGAAAGTGTGATTGATTTGAACAAGGGACAGGAAAACATGACTATGAAAATGGATGATATTTGAGATTTTTTTACTTAAAAATGGGGATCGGGAATGAACAAATTGAAGATGCAAATCTATTCCTACTTAATTCTTCAGAGAATCTAAGAGGTTTACTTGGGTGTCCATTGGAGAGGCGCAAGGGCATTCTTATGAAAATGATG